TAGATACGTGCTCGGGGAAAGCGAGCCCTGCCCGAACGACGATAGCTAGAGAGCCGGGACTTGCATAATTTTGTAGAGTAACGTCCGAACTATCTACGCATGCAAAAAACTTACTAACATTGTATGTTAGTTTTCTGAGAACGGAGCTGGTTTTCCAAAGATCGTCTGAAAATCCGATCTCTGGAATTTTTCAAAAGTTGCTTCCGCTTGTGAAAAGTTCTGCTCAAGTCTTGGCTATTGAACAGCGAAAATCTATCTCATTCCTATCAAAAGTTATTCAAAAAATGCCCACGGGTGTTGTATTTTGGAATGGATAGTAGATTTGAAGAACAAATAGGACTAAGACAAATCAACGTGATTCTAGTTTAAGAGAAAGGATCTTACGGCCTTTGCTGTTCTCGACCTCTGCGTGAATCGATAATCTCCACAAAAGGACAGTCAAGCCAAAATTTGATTTTGGATATCTAGAACCTCAGATTACAGAGAGTCTCTGTATTGATTTTTGAAAATTGATGTTTTTGAAAGTTTTTTCTCGTTAAGCTTGCTATATCTACACTTTAAAATAATTGAATCGCTTTCCTGTTCTACTTCGAAACAAAAATTTTGTACCATGTGTTCGCACGAGTATAAACCTTTCGGAGCCCAACACAAAAGTTTTCCCTACCAGTCAAAGTTTTTCTACGTTCCTCTATGAAAGCTGGATAATTCGTATTATTGATTGTGAAAGAGGTTAATTCTTGACGTGTAAAATTATATTGTTGTACATCAGATTTTAAATTTAGAAGCACCATTAATCTTGTTAGTGCTTCACCAAGATGTGATAATTTTGATCGCCTTCCAAATTCTTTTTTTACTACACGATAAAATGATTCAATTATGTTGTTAGTGTTACTCAATAACGTAATGCCAACTTTTCGTTTGTACCGCGCCCATAAATCAATATAATCCAGCCAATTTTGTTGAAAATAATTCCAATAATCGTTATTTAATGACGTTAAACTATTAACATTTTCATTGAATTTGGTTTCATCTGAACTGTATATTACTTGTTTTGATAAATCTAATATTTTTTTCTTTCTTTCAATATCAATATGCAACTTAGCAATATATGCTTTTAGTTTTTTAATAATATGAAAATAACATAATAATACTTTAGAAGACGGAAATAATTCACGTATCATAGCCATTTCATTAAAATCTTTATCAATCATGAACGTTTTAATTACTTGGAAATCAGTATATGCAGATTGGAATTTTAAAGGTAATTGACGTATATTTTCTTGAGATTTATGTACTAGTAATCCTATACCGATCGGTTGACCTTAGAAAAGACAAACATATGTACTAAAATTTAATTTTAAGCCACTTAAGTCTCTTCAAGAAATACTTAGCGAGTACGATATTTTGGCTTTATGTAACTTTAATCGAACTATTTAAAAACCGTCATCGTTCTCTTTCTATTAAGATCCTAACAGATTCTAACCCAATCTTGAAAAAATCTATAATCTTAGTAAGATTTCGCTTACAAAAACAAATTCTATACACCTTAGA